TTAGCTATATAATAAATATGTACACAAGACCCATTACATGATATTTCACAGGAATAAGAGAAAGCCTCCCAGACATCACTGGGAACATCTGTTATAAAACGTGAAATAAGAACTGTTTCTTGGTATTTATTTAGATCCACAACTGAACTGGAAATGCCATATGGGATTTTAATTTACAGCTTCAACTAATTTTGCAAGGTATTTTCTACTCTCATTTTACTTCTCTTCATCCCCGTCTGTCCACTTCCAGTAGCGTGGAATCCTTGCTGAAAGGATAAGAGGCCGGTTTTGTGTCAGTCCTGAACGGCCTTCGTACTCCGGTTGCTCTTCCCTCTCTACCCTTTTCGCTACCATACTAAGCTACATATTTTGTCCTAATTGTGAACCCATTTATAACCTTCTCATCATGATGCTTTATCTTAATTCCGTATGACCTTTTCGTACAGCCTCACCCTCTTGCATTCTGTATACGCCACTAATGGCCTAACCTATCCTAACCTAACCAGAGGAAGAACATGAGGTGGTTTCTAACCTTGTTAAAGAGTGTGTCAAAACATTAGCAAATGGGTAAATTTGAGGAATTACAGGCACTGTAGTGGACAAACTTTCCTGTTTGACAAGTAAAATTTTATAAGCAGTGCCTTGTATTCCATAGTGGTTGAGCTTCGAAAGTAAGATCTGATGGTTGAGAAATTGAGGAAAATACCCAGAATAAACGAATTATCATCCATCCACTGCAGTATCTTGCTTTTCAAACACATCTTTGCTTTTACCTTGGACTTATTTCCCTGGAAACCAAACTGGGAGTCGGATATCAAGCTGTTGGTGTTACTTTTCTTTTCTTTTTTTTTTTTGTCTGTTATAAATTAACTTTTCAAAAGTCTTACAGAGGGCTGGCAGGACAGATACTGGACGAGAATTGCCTAAAGCAGGTGGTCCATTCAGCTTGGTGACTGGTGCAACTTTGGCAAATTAAGTTAAGAAAAGTCTGAAAGAGAGGTACAACGCCAAGACCATTTTCCTTCCAAACGAAAAAGCCAAACGTCCAGGAATAGAATCGAACGTTTCGTTTGCCAGCGATGCCGAGGCCGCTGCCTGAGCCGCGATGGCCTGAGCTGGACCACGACATGGCCACCGTCCCCCTGTGGCCCATCGACCCTGCCTGCGCCATGTGAGTGTCCCTCCGCCCTCCTCGCCCCCCTGAGTCTCCCTCTGTCTATCTCTGCTTCTCTATTTCCCTTTTTTTTATCCTTCCATCTCTCTCCCTCTGCCTACTGTTTCGCTTTCTACTGTGCATTTCCCTTTCGTTTGTCCTTTTATCCCTCTGTCTAGTGTTTCGCCCTCTGCCTGTCCTGCTTTCTCACCTTCCCTCACTTTTATTCTCCCATGTCTCTCCCACTGCCTACTCTTTCGCTTTCTGCTTTCTCTATTTTCCTTTTTCTTAACCTGTCATTTGTCTCCTGTCTACTCCTTCGCTTTCTGCTGTCTCTCTCTGCTATCTATCCTTCCCTCTCTTATATTCTTCTATTTCTGTCTCTTTGTTAATTTAATGAGTTCTTTCAGCCGGGCTACCATCCCACCTCTCTCTTTCTCTATTTACCTCTGTCTCCCCTCTCTCTTTCTCTCCTCTCTCTCTCTCTCTCTCTCTCTCTCTCTCTCTCTCTCTCTCTCTCTCTCTCTCTCTCTCTCTCTCTCTCTCTCTCTCTCTCTCTCTCTCTTTACAAAAACACATTGCAAGACAAAGCGGAAGTTTGGGAGGTAATTTTCCATCTAATAATCAATAAATAAAGGATCACAATTAAAAGAAAATCATATATATATTTTAGCCTAAATGCATAGAAGCTCTGCAGTTGTAAAAACTAATAAAAAAATTCCATTACTTAAATTATTTTCATTTAGCGAGCTCATCTTATTAATCAATATACACACCTCAAAAATAATTATGAAGTGGGTTCACACACACACACACACACACACACACACACACACATGTGTTTGTATATGTAGTCGCTCTTCGACTAAATGTTCGGAATGAAACTCGCAAAGTCGCTCTCACTCTACTTTATTAGTAAACACGGTGAAACCTATACACATACGGCACATTAATTTCCATTTCATTTGCCTATTTTGCTATGACACACCACATATATAAGATACATATAGTTATATGCTTTCAAATCAAGTACATCTGACACATATTCACATATATATATATATATATATATAATATATATATATATATATATATATATATATATATATATATATATATATATATATATATATATATTTTTGTACTATAATATACTTCACATGGTTTGAACGCATACACTGCGAGTTCTCTAATAGTGTCAAAGTGTCACAGGCGTACTGACCTCTTGTTATTAACTGCCCTCGTCTGTGGAGGCAGACGAAGAGCATTTTGTTTTCTCAGCTGGGTTTGCCCGTGCTGCTTGTCAGGCCTGTGACGGTCTTCTGTATGGGCTGCGTGGTCTTGACATGCAGAGGGTCGCGCCATTTTCAGCCGTCATGTAGTCTACAAAGCTACATGCGGCTTCAGTATATATGTGTGCATGGATATATGTGTATATATATATACACATGGAGATATGTGTATATATATACGATGTGTGTGTGTGTGTGTGTGTGTGTGTATATGTGTATATATATACATATATGTGTTGTGTGTGTGTGTGTGTGTGTGTGTGTGTGTGTGTGTGTGTGTGTGTGTGTGTGTGTGTGTGTGTATATATATATATATATATATATATATATATATATATATATATATATATGAAGGATGAAGAAACTCTTAAGGTTATGAAGTCAATTAATATATCAATTAAATCTGCAACTGCGAACAAGTGTCAGACTTCTGCTTCTTCTTAATGTTGGGTTCAGTTTGAATCCAGATTTTTTCTCCTTATTCCCAGATCGCGGCAAAAATATCCTTTTAAGATCCACTTTCCGTTCATAATGAAAAAAAGCGTTAAAAGAATTATATATCTCAGTATATTGTCATTCCACGAAAGAAGCGAACTGGGTGGGATTTTCTGCCCGTGGCGATCTGGTCTTGCAGAAGTACCGAAGAGGCTTCATTTTCTCCTGTGGAACTTTTGCAACACTTAAGGGCGCCGCGTCGTCTTGGGTGTCATTATGGGCGTAAGTTGGTATTGTCATGGGTGCAAATTAGGCATCGTCTTAATCTAAAACTGGCTGTCGTCTTGGGCTTAAGTTGGGCTTCGTCTTAGGCGAAAATTGGGCGGTGTAAATCGGGAGTTGATGTGTGTTTTTGGACATCATCTTGGTAGTAAACTGGCCGTTATCTCTGGTGAAAATTGGGCGTCGTTTTGTGCCTAAATACGGGGTCATCTTGGGCGTAAATAGGATGTTTCGGACGTAATTTGGTCTTTGTTTTAGGCATAAATTGGGCGTTGTGTTGAGCGTGAATTGGGCGTCTTGGGTGTCAGTAAATAGGAGGCTTTTCCCCTTGCATATCCGTCTTAGGTATACAGGTTTTGGTGTGGCCAGTCAGACCACAAGAAAGATAACTAATCACAGCTTCAGCCGAAATGAACCTCTACTTGTATCAGTAAACGTGAGGCAAGGAAGACACAGAGAAGCATTTTCAGTTTTGATCATTTGTTTTGAGGCTTCATTTCCTATCATATCCCGGATTTCAAGAGACAGCAGAGAACGAAATGGGAGAGAATGGAGACGTCAGCATGTTGTGTGTATATGTATATATATATATATATATATATATATTATATATATATATTATATATATATATACGTTGATGTTCCTTGCAAACATGACATTTCAGTGTAATACAAAACCTGCAAGTTTCTTTTTGTTACTTTTTTTACCTTTGTCTTACATTCATAACGAAACTTCATTGTAAGTGGAATATCTTTTTTTATTTATCTTTTTTAATAACTTTATTGCATATGGCTTCATCTGGAGGCTTGTCTTCTAGGATTATTTTTATTAGAATATATTCTTTTCAACATATTCTTAGTCTAAGAATAGAAAAATTATAACAGTGGCCAATAATAAGAAATTCGTGGCATGAACTTTACAGGATTTTTTTCTTTTTCTTTCTTTTTCATTTTTCCGCGAATCGTGTATGGTCTATATCAAGAAGTGAAAAGGTATCACACTATAATGAGCGCTATGACCATATAGAAAGGAAATTATACTAATAATTTTTTTTTATAGGATATGAATAAAGAAATATTGGCTCTACTTGTAACAAACATGTATTTAATACAGTGCGATACTTTGATCACATTTAGTTCGCCTAGATTAATGCACAAATGGAACAATCAAAACAAAGTTGCTTTTTCAGGCATGAAGTAAAATTATCATGAATATAATGATTATTCAACGAGGGATCTAGGATTGCAAATATCTTTAAAATATTCACTTCTCTGAATTCAGTAGCTCCTCCGTCCTATTTATTTTTTCTATTATTTCGAAAATTCTACCATTGTCATCTGCATCTAAAAATGCCCTATTTATTTGATTCCATAATTCATGGACATGCCCCCCCCCCCCTCTCTTTCTCTCTCTCTCTCTCTCTCTCTCTCTCTCTCTCTCTCTCTCTCTCTCTCTCTCTCTCTCTCTCTCTCTCTCTCTCTCTCTCTCTCTCTCTCTCTCTTGACCAAGACACTGTTTTCATGCTGTTTATTTAATCTGAAGTGTGTCCCGGTCCCTCTCCGGTCTGGCCATAAACGCGGGACAAAATTAACGACATTATCCGCTCATGGGGTTATGAGGTCGTCTGTCTGCCTCGCGCTTAGCCATGTTGATACAAAGAAAAATCCACAAAGCACAAACTAGATTCATTGGAATAAATAAAACCAGTTTCGAAATCAATTGGATACCATCGTCAAGCCACCTGAAGGAGGAATAATTAATAGATAAACATTAATTGTTATATGTATAGAGAGAGTGATGGGTGTGTCGATACCCATGCAGATATATATCTTTATATTCATTTATGTGTCAAATCATAGGCAGGCAGCGGAGGGAAGTTTCTTTCACGAAGTAGTTCAGAAACTTCAGCCACAGCTTTCGCCAGCGCCAATTTCTGCTCGGGTGTGTATGGGTCAACCTGCGAGAAAAGGGAAATTCGATATGAAAGGGATAATTACTGGGACTGAGAATTTTACTTTTAACCTGTCCTTTCCACCCACACTCTCTGTTTCTTCATCTCTCTTTATCACTATCTCTCTCTCTCTCTCTCTCTCTCTCTCTCTCTCTCTCTCTCTCTCTCTCTCTCATATATATCATATATATATATATATATATATTATATATATATATATATATATATATTATATTATATATATATACATACACACACACACACACACACACACACACACACACACACACACACACATACATATATATATATATATATATATATATATATATATATATGTGTGTGTGTGTGTGTGTGTGTGTGTGTGTGTGTGTGTGTGTGTGTGTGTGTGTGGTTCTCTTCTCATAAAAAGATGAAGCAAAAACTTGCCTGTCTCTGCAACCCCAGTCTGAACCCCTCTGGGTAGCGTCGGAGGCACTCGAGGCGCCTTTCGTCCGCCGGAACGCCCAGAAACGCCAGCGCCCTCCGCACCTGCGCGATCGGGTCCTTCTTCAGCTCCTCGTAAGGGATCACCAGCAGCCGTTGGGAGTACAGGAGCCGGTCTGTGGCCAGCTGTGGAGTCCGTTTTTAAAGAGGGACACTGAGTACATTATGGAGTGGCTCACACACTGAATCAAATGTGATCTTGGTAATGGTACGTAATCATACGTGTAATATCTGACTGTGGCGAGAATTACTGTCACTGTCTGGAATATTTCTCAAAGCTATGGTGTTGTAATTCACGTAGTTATGAAAATTAAGTATCATGCATCATCCTGGTAAGGATATCAACTTAAGCAATACCATAATAATTTGTCCATATCGTAATTAACTGAATGCATGGTTTATGGGAACCGTCTGCTCTTTTTTTCGGCATTTTTCGTCCTTCTTGCCGAAATCGAGTTAACTGCATTTCCACGGAGTTCCAGGGCCTCCGATGTTCCCCTGAAAATTCCAAGGCCCAACCGCTGTTTTCTAGGTGGCAGCAAGCCTTTTCGATGTCGACCGAAATATATTTTGCACTTTACCTTAGAAAATCGGCAATTGTGACGTGATGATTAGATATAATTTTTAAAAACTGCATTATTTTCTGTGAGCTTATTAAATTTCACCTAAGATGACACTACCCTTCATTTTTTCGGAATAATCTACAAAATCTGGTGTGTCAAAAAGACAAATAAATAAACATAATATGCCGTTCATACGGTGTATTTTTTCTTTGTTTTCATCATATAAACTTAGTCTGATCTATGCACAAAATATTTTGAGAATGCAACACCCCCCAAATTGGGGATAGGTTTGCAAAATGATAAGTTAGGCTCAGACACAACTCAGGTAAAATTATATTAAAATTTGTCCATAACTTTCTGAGCTAGAAAAGAAAAAATCCTGGATCCGAACTTTGGTCCAGATCCCCCATCAACGCACCTAAAAAGCACATCTGGTATAAATCTCATTAAAATGTGTTCATAACTTTATGAATTACCAGACAAAGTAAAGAAAACAAAAAGTCAAAATAAACGGAAGTAACAATATAAATACATATAAGGTCATGGAATACACGGAAATGATCTGTATACCCTTCCATACCTTATTACATATTTTTACACCACCCTGTGCTTATATATATCGTTATTTCACGGAAGTGTTAGTGCTAAAGTCGGGCGTTTCATCCCGTAGAGCTACAACGCCTCTGACTGTGAGCTGAAAAAGACGTGCCTGCTTCCCCTTCTGAGCGCCCGATGGTGTGATATTCGTTGGCTTTGAGAATGATCACTTTTCGACCAGTATTATACGTTGTAAAACTCCATTAGAGCAACAATAACGGCAAATAATAGATAATTATATCACATATAATACATGATTTGTTACCCACAATGTAAAGAAAAAAAAATGAAGAGGAAAAAAAACGCGGTATTTTGGTACTTCACCTTCTTACGCGTAGCACACGCATTTTTAGTCCGATTTTAACGTATTATGGCTCATGCTGTAGCTGAATAGTAGATCTATTGTATGCTACAAAAAGGATTTGCATTATTTTCATGTGCTTCTTGTAAAAGTGACATATTTTAAAAAGACCCGTTTAGGGTGATGAAAAAGTCGCTTACACAAAATATTCACACACAAAACAAAGGTAGACCGAAAAATTCGCATTCGCATATTATAGTTGAAAGATTGTTCTATTCAGATGTGAAATCAGAATGGCTGTATGTTTTTTTTTTCTTCCTTTTTAGAGAAATTTAAAATGGTCAATGTAGGCCTAAAGACACCTCAGCGCAACCCTACCACACTATACGTAAGATTCTGAGAAATTGTTATATGCAAAGTTCGGGATGCAAGTAGATGA